TGAGAGTAAAAAAACAGGACAGTAAAAAGAAATACAAAAAGGGAGAAAAAATGACAATTAATAAAATTTTTTTTTAAAAAGAAAAATTAATTTAAAATATTGAAAAGTAAACATTAAGAAATTATTAATTTAAAACTAAAATTTTGCTTGATAAAGGACAATATTGGAATTTATTTAAAGGACCTTGGAATTTCATTTTTGAAACCAAATTTATTCAATTGAATTTAAAGAAAACAACAGGTCAATTTAAAAAACATTTTGAACATTGATATATTATTTTAAAAGGTAAATGAAAATATAATTTGAAATTTGGAATTTTTTTTTATTATTTTAAAGATAAGAAAATTTATTTTAATAAATAATGAATTTGGTCATCATTTTTTGTTAAAAAATAAAAATTCAAAACTTTTGAATTGAAATGAAAACACAGATTTTTAAAAATAAAACATTTTTTTCTTAACATTAATAACAGAGTTCTTTATTTTTTTTAATTTATAGAAAATGTAGATTCATTTTTTTCCTAAAAAAATTTTTTAAAATTTAACTTCTTTTTATTATCAGAATATCAAAATCTAAAAAAAAATATATTTGAAAAAACTTTTATATTTGGGAATAATAAAAAAAATAGTTTTGGCAAAAATCATAGCTCTAAATTAAACATTCTAACAAAATAAATCAAACTCTCTTTTTGACATTTTATAACAGAAAAAATTAAAATATGGTTTATTGGGATAATTTATTTTATAATCTCTGTGGGAAAATTTTTTTTCATGGAAAATTGAGGAAAACAATTTAAGTTTGGAGTTCACATTCTTAAAGAAAACTGCTTTTTTCCAGTCAATCTTTTTAATATAACACAAATTCACAGAGAAACTTTAAATCTGAAAAATATAAAAAAAAACAGCTTAAGTTATCAATTTAAAACTATCTAAATTTCAATTAAATTTTTGGAATTGGTCATTTAATTAAGACAAAAGAATATATTAATTAGCTAGGAAATAATTTACCTGTTGGCCTATTACTTGAATTTAATGCAAACATCAATTATTTATTTTTAAAAAATTATATGGAAAAATAAAAATTATGCCATTAAATATTTATTCAACTAAATATGAACCATTTTGTTGACAACCTTTCTCCATTTTTCCTTCAACTTAAAGATTCCATCTTCCCAAATTTTGGTAGTTTTTTCAGCAAAGAACTCATTAAGGTGTTTTTTTATGTCATTTTTTTTTTCATTGAGATTATTTTGCAAGGACCTGAATAAATGAAAATCCAAAGGAGCAATGAAAACAAATATGGCAGGTGGGGTAACACATTTCAGCCAAGCTGCAACAAATTTTTGCCGGGTCACTAAATAAACGTGAGGTCTGGATTTATCCTGATGGAAAACACCTTTCCTGTTGGCCAGTTCTAGGCATTTTTTCTTGAATTGCTGCCTTTAATTCATCTAGTTGCTAGCAATGCTTTTCAAAATCAACTGACTAGTTACTTGGCGGAAGCTCATACTACAAGTTTCCTTTCCAATCCCACCAGATGTACAGCATGACTTTCTTAGGATGAAGACCTGCTTTTTTTAAAGTTGGCTCATGTTGCTTACCCCAGGATACGATTTTTTTCACTGAACATTGTTGTAAATAATCCATTTCTCATCACCATCACAATTTGCTTCCAAAAAAAATTTTTGCAGGATTTCATTGCATTTATACAGCAAATCACAGATGAAATGTGATCCAAAAGATTCTTTTTTCACTCAGATCATGTGAAACACCCAAATATCTTAGTGATTTGAGTATCCAAGCTTCACTAAGTGCTCATGGATGGTGGATTTTGATAAATTTAGTGTTTCTGCCAATTCCCATGTTGTGTATTGTGGGTTATTCTCAATCAATGTCTTTATTTGGTCATCATCTGTATTGGGGTCTGTCTGAATTTCTTCTTCATCAATAAGGCTACAATCACCAACTCTAAACTTAGCTTAACCATATCTGTACAGTTCTGTCAGCTAAACAACCATTTTGACCTTCAACATTTTTGAAAAATAAAAAGAATCAAGTGTCTAAATTGCACATTATTTCTTCCATTTTCATAAGGATATCAAAAAAACAAATTAAGTAATTTTAAATTTTAAAATCAAGACATAATGAAGTGTTTCTAATCAATTGTTTATTATATCTGTTGATAAATTTGACATTTGTAATGTGTTGGAACATGAACTGGAAAAAAATCAGCATGAACTTTCTAGACAACCCAATATAAATATATATATATATATATATATATATAAATGAAAAAAAGTCTTTAATATTCCATGGTCATTGGAATCATAAATATGATCCAATTCATCAAAAAAATTCAAAAAAAAAAAAAAAACTAAAAATAAAAATAAAATTTAGTGAGAGTTCTACCTGGATTCTATCCCTTGGAATTATTTTTATACAAATATATATATTTTATATATATATATATATATATATATATATATATATATATATATATATGTGTGTGTGTATGTATGTATATATATGTTTACATATTTTAGATATATGATTGCATATGTATGTGTATATTTACCACTAATATTATCTATATATATATATATATATATATATATATATATATTTAACTATTGATTTAAACTTAATAAAATAAGTTTGAGTGGAACTCAAACATACAGTAAAGCCATAACAAACCAAATTTAAGTGTATTTAATCTATGAGGGTAGATCAGTAAGCCTGTAGCCTGGCACATAGGTTGAACTCTAACCTGAAATTTTAACTGTATTTCATCACTAAATTAAGTGCATTGACAAGAAAAATTATGTTGAGAAAAAAAAATGTTTCTGTAAAAAGCTTCTTTTTTTTCATTATTTGGCTACACACTTATTGATGTACTTACATCAATGTTTCTTCTAATTAAGCTCCAATAACTGCACACTATATATCAACTTGCTGTGGTGTTTTTTGTTTGCTTTTTTTAAACTACATATTCTAGTTAACTTATAGAAATAATTTTCACAACAATTTGTCAGGTAGATGAGGACATTTTTATTATTTAAAAATTTATGTGAATGCTACTCTTAGATCTTTATTTTGTATCTACATATCTAAGTAGCTCAATTCTTACTGAATTGTCAGGTAATTTAAAAAAAAAAAAAAAAAAGAAAATTGTGCCAATTGGAAATCCTAAGTCAAGAATTATGTTACAATTAAATATGGATTTCTTATTTTGATTTTTTTCTATGTTTTGTCAGTGTGAAGGCCCTGAAGAGATTTGAACTTAGGTGCATTTAAACTTTGGGAATCTTTTGGCCTGCTCATAAAATTCCTTAGCTTCAAGGAGACATCTAGATCTTTCATATTGGCTTTTCAACAGCTCAAAAATATTTTGTTTTTGTTTTAAATATCTTTTCTATTCTATTCCTTCTTTTTGGACTTTTCCTCTTGATTCAACGTCTATGTCGCTGAAATTACTTTAACATAACAAATATCAAATTCTGATTAGTCTATAAACCTAAGTATTCACGTATCTTTTAAATTTTCTTTTTTTTTGTCTTTACTTCAGAATAATTTATAGTATCTGTTCTCTCTATAGAGAGCAACTTTTAATACAAACTAAAACATGATGCTGACCAAAGTGTCTTTAAGACTAACACTTATCACTTTGGCAATAACAAAGCAATAGAAAACAAATATTGCTTTTCACTTTTATATTTTCTAACTGGCTCTACTCTTTGTTGGCTTAATATATTTTACTTTTCTCAAATTCACCTACAATATGATAAACAGACATCTTTGCATATATTCACATTGTACAAAAAAGCATGATGATATGACTATGTAAAGAGTTTAATCATCACTAAATTGTCCAGTGATATAACTTATGACCAAGCTTGATATAATCTAACAATGAAAATATCGGTTATATTATTTTAAAAATAATTTTTAGCAAGTATGTTTTGAAAAGTATCTAAAATAACATCTGCATATGTAATTTAGCCTGCAAAATGCATATTTGAGCTATAACTAATGCATTTATTATCAAAAAGCCAACTTTACAATCAAAATTTGCACTTCTTATATTAATTTGTTTTTATTTACACACACACACACACACACACACACACACACACACGTATTTGTCACAACATCAGTTATTTAATGTGGGCATAGGTCATTTCTCTGTATGATATGAAACGTAATAATTATTCATATCTTTAATATGTACTTTGCAAAAAATGTCCAGGGTACCTTAGTACTAATTGCAAGTAACAGAAAACACCCTGATCCTCTCTAAGTGAAATTGGAGGTGCTGTTTTAGAGATGGATCTTCTATACTCAAGTAAATCACATTTTGCTACTCATACACCATTTTGTGTGAAAACTGAATTTCCAAAGACTTATGTCTCAGAATTTTGTTGTAATTATTTTTATTTCTTTTTGTCTTATTTTTGTTATAAAATTAGAAATTTAATAAAGTCAAAATAATTTGTGATTTCTTATTTAAAATCAATCTTCAAGAGATTTTAGAAGCTTTGTTCTTTTTCATGATAGTGAGTATTATAGAAATACTTATGTTAACTTTTTTTTTTTTTTTTTACTTATATTGATTCCCTTATTGTATAATCTCTTAGTATCCTCTTACTTCTAGTTTGTTAGAAAAATATATTGCATACAGTATCATTTATTGACATTACTTGAAATATTTGTTTAACAAATTGTAAAATCTGATATTAATTATAGGTTTATAAAATTCTGGTATTATAGGTTTCTATCCTATTAATACCTACTGTGCAAAAAAAATGGATTAATTTACCTTTATCTTACACATGCCTTACTTTTAACTTTTCAGAGATTAATCTTTTCAATTATTAAAAATGAATTTTAACTGCATATTAACTTTTATTTTACAATTACTGGTAATGCTACTTTTTTTCTGCTAAATCTTTTATATATCTAAATTTATTAATGTAAGAACTTGGAATATTTTTTATTTTATAGCAATTACATTTCTTCATCAAATCCCGTTGAAAAGCATCAGGTAATATTTTTTTCTCTCCTCTATCAAAGAAAATATTTTTAATTTTTTATATACTCACACCTGTCAACCTCCTTCATATTTCAATTTTATTATCTTTATAAAAAGATTTGAATTTTTACTAGATTAAAAAGATTTTTATATGTTCCACACAAGCTAGTTTAAACACCAGCATTATCATTATTGGATAATTCAAAATGTGTTAATATATGATGTTTATCCTTTAAATTATTTGAAAAATATATGAATTCAGAATTTCAAAAATATTTCATATCAGTTTTACTTTTTTAAATAAATTTGAATTTTCTCATTACTGTGTTTTATTATAAACTGTTGGATTAAAATTATTTCCTTTTTTAGAAACTAAATTTATCGTAAGTTGACTGATTTGAAATGTATATGACAAGATTACATGTTAACATTATGCTTTTGACACACGTGATAATTATGTATTTAAATGTATATGCATAATATTGTATGTATTTATATGCTCACCCATGTATGACACAATGGCTCCCCATACAATTGATTTAGAACATCCACAAAGTCAGTTTGGCTCTAAATGATTTTATCTAGGGCTGAAGATTTTATGATTGCATAGACAAGTGAGACCTTCAAATCAATCACCCACTGTCCACAAGTAGGAAAAAATTAAATTAATTAAATAAATGAAAAGTTTCAGGATCAAGTGCCACTTGTCCAGAAGGTAGGAAATTCTAGTTGTGGGTCTCACATTAGAATGGGCTATCAGAAAGAAATCATTCATTGGCAAGTGACAAGCCGCATGTCATGATGTATCGGTGTAAGAAACTATTGGTGGCGATGTAGAATTGGAAGTAATCAAAGTGACAAGAGAGATGCATAGTTAGAGGTAGTCAAAGTTCTCACTGGCTGATTGGATGATCTGGTCAATTAATCTGTCATGAGAGAAGACAGAAGTCTGTAGTAGTGAAGATGTTCCAAGTGTCAACTACCCACCAGGTGAATACATAAAGAACCTAATATGTCATTATTTCCACTCTCTCTCTCTCTCTCTCTCGTTTGCCTTCACTTTCCATCAATCAGTATCTCCATTCTCTTTTCATCTATCTGCTTTTAATTTCTACCCACCAGTATCTCCATTTTATGTCCATCTCTCTATAAATCCTCCCTCTCAATCTATTTCTCTTATCTGCTTTATTCTGCTAGTAGTCCTTATATTAATTCCTAGTTACTAACAATCCCTTTTTGTTCTTGATTCTAATGCATAACCTATTCAACAATATGGCTTGACATCAGAATATATAGACTAAGTACTGTATATTACACAAAACATCACCATTATCTTGATTTAAATAAATATGACAGTGGATCAGTAAGTGATGGTCATTATCTGAAATTTTCACTGTAAAATGTTCAAAATATGTAATTAATATTGACCCCTGAATTTAAGACATTGACAAAGAAAAAGAATTTAAAAACAAATTTTTTTCATGTAAAATAAAGTTTTGTTTTCATCATTACTCTGCAGACTTATTGATGGACCTTTGTATGTTTTTGAGAGTGATTTACATGTATTAATATCACGAGAGATAATGCTTTTATACTTTTACTGTTTCAGGCAAGTAGTAATATTACAGAACAACAAAAACAAGACCCTCATATTTCTGAACAAGAACGTCTCGAGGCTTCTGAAATGTCCATCCAAAACTTGAAATTGGTCTTAATTGATCTGTGCCATGATATCAATACAACAGAGAAATTTGAACAGAAGCAAACACTGAGAAGGAAATGGGATGAATTCTTGAATGTGTTTAACAAAAAGATTGAAGATAATATATTTAAATTGACTGAACACATTAGATCAGTTGAACAGCACATCCAGATCCTTGTCATGAAGGACTCGGACTTTTACCGCCGAGAAAGTTACAGCCAGTTAAATGAAGACAAAATTTACACACAGAAGAAGATATCTGAAATGCGCAATTTACAAGGACACTATTCAAAAGTAAATAGTCCCGAAGAGTTTTGGTTAAATTATATGCAGATGCCAGATATACGACAAGATGAAAATAAAGGCTACTACACTGTTCCATTCCCTGGTTCTGCCTACAATTCAGACAGTGATCTCTATGCTAAAAAGTCTCCTCAGAAACATCATTCATCTACATCGACACCTGAATACTTAGAAATGCTGAGTGATGATGTTGCACCACCACCAGACCTAGAATATCCAAGCACATCATTGCAACAAAACATGAACAAAGATTTTCCAATCTTTTCATACTTTTCATTAAAGCCTGATCCTACGCAACCAACCTTTGACATTGGTGAACGTAAGCGTTCCAACACTTTATCAGATATTTCCCGGCCACAAGGGGCAAGCACTTTGCTGGATTCACAAAATTGGGTATCTAAACGCCGGAATGGTTCTCAGGAAGAGAGTTCCTTGGTCTATCCTTCAAAGAGAGAGATGCCATTTGTCTTCAGAGAGGACTTGTTTCAAGAGCAGAAAGGGGTAAGCATTGTTTTTCTTTTACATCAACTCATTCAGCTTTTTGGATAATCTTGGGAAATCTTTTATTGTATAATATTTATAAAATTTCCCTTTTAAGACTTTGGAAATTGGTTAATTGAAAAATGTTTGTCAAAGTAAGAATAAAGATGTCTTATCACATTCTCATTGCCAAAATCATACAGTTACTATCTGTTATTAAATACCTTAACCAAATCTGTAACATAATCATAACATATGTGATTGAAATGGTGTTTGGTGACTAAGGTCATTGTTCTATTACCATGCTAGTTTCCATGGCTGTTTTCATGCAAATACACCAAAGTCTCTGTTACTGACAATCAAATCAGCTGTTATTTCATCAGGAAGAAATCCTAGCAATTGCCAGCCCATGTGTTCTTATTGTGGCAAAAATGATCTCAAAAGAATTTTAGAGCAAGAAACTTCTTTTTTTACCAGGAAATCTTGCTTTCTTGCTAATTCATAATTCATCAATTCACACGCCAATAAAAAAGATACCATCACTTACTTTCTCCCCACATTTTTGCAGGACTTGTGGCTATAAACTAACTCTACTAAATATATAGCATTTCAGAAATACAATTAATTTTCAGCAACCTGTGTGGCTGATTTTAGTTAATTTTTTTCTTCCCAATCCTTAATTTTAATTTATTCTCCTCTATTTTACCCATACAATGTTACAATAGCCAGCCAAATAGTCAGATTTTGCTGTCTCATGTTGCTAAATATACTGCAGTAAAAGAAAGTAGTATATAGGGAATGACTGATGGCCATATCCTGCTTACAGTAATCAAACACATCAAGTACAAATTTGTGAATTGTCTCAAGGTTTTATGTATGTGGATTTTGATTGCAACAATAGCCATAACAACATTAATAATTCATTTACTGGATTTTTCCATGTTATTTCATTTTTAGCAGGTAGATATGAGAAAAAAGGTTAACATTATTTACATTTGGACTAATGTCTTCATTTTGTTATTAGCACAGCATTTTGGCTCTTGTGTCCTTCATCCTTCTTCAGGTGTCTGGGTAACCTTCAGTGAACTTCAAACTGAATTCTTTGTATTTAATCTATGGGGGTTATTCTCAGTGAAGAACTCAGGAGAATCAAATGTCTGAAGAAATCAGCACATATGATAGGCTATAAGGATAGGCCCAACAATGAAATAAACACCATATTTGAGTCATTAATTAATGAAGAGAAATGACAGTAAGGTTTTAAAAGCAGTAACAAAGAGATGCAGTAGTGAATGCAGTCAAGCATAATAGCAGCAGCAGCAAAGAAAAAAACATTGGGTTTAAGGCTCCAGTAGTTTAGTGGATTAAATGAATTTGGTGACATAGTACTTATGAGTTTAATCCATGAGCCAGTTAGTACAGATTTAAACTCTGCAACTAAATAAGAACAAGATATTCTTAAACATGGATAGCAGAACAAGATAAGTCGAATCCCATAGATTAAATAAAAGGGACCATTTTGGAATTCTCTGAATGTAAATAATGATAATTCATTCCAGAAATTCAGACAGAAAACAGGTTAACATTTAACAAAACAAATTATTTATTCTAAACTAATTTCCTCATCTTTGTTGTTATTATCATGTTTTGGTTGTTGTGCTCTCGGGGTATCTTCAGGTGTCTGTCAATCCAAGTAATCTTCAGGGAATTTAGAACTGAACTGTTTAGTTAATCCACTTGGTTTTTATTCCATGAAACAATAGCATAGTGAATTAAATTGTTGGTTTGTGAATTTGGTGACATAATGTTGTAGTTAAGATTGCCTTAGTTATATTATTTCATAAGTGCAGTTTATTAATTAGAACTTGCAATTTTCTTAGCAAACAATGTATATATGATCTTTTATGTGTGCTAATTTATAATAACATTGAGGTATAACATCTTCAGCTTATAAGTGAATACCTTTTCATTCATCTTGTATGCATATGCCTGAAGACTTTATATCTGCTTTTTCATGTCAAATTATGGTTTCTATAATTCCATGACATCATGGACATTTTTACTAAATTTAATTTTCAGACACCACATGAGTTTCTTATAGAATTCATGGTCAAAAGAAGTCATCAACAAGTTAAACAAATGATACACTGATTTTAAGATTGTTATAAAAGAGGTAAAAAATGTTTTGAAGGGTGATCCAAATCTGCTGGGAGAAATAGTGAACATTAGCTTCTCTGGGATGAGGCCCAAGTAATTGGCACAAAATTCCACTGGAAAGTAAAAACAGCAGCATGTCTAGTATAGCTTTCAACATGGTATAGTTTCAATTGCTCATCAGAGAAATTGGGGTATTCTCTATGTATAAATTAAAATTAACTGACTTACATAGGTGAGGGTAAATGGTATTGTTTGTATATTTTGCATTGCTGAAATCAACAAATCTACTTGATATATTATCAACCATTTTCTGTTGCTATTTTGAATCATTGAAAAAAATATTGACCTCTCTTTTTCCTTATAATTTATAATATGAAGAGTGCTTTAGAATGGAACTGCTACAAGATGAAGGAGAAGTTTAATAGAAAAGGCTTGGAAAGTTCTAGATAATTGAATAAAGTATTAAGGTAGTCCTAGATAAAAAAAAATTTCATTGCAATGCAAGCACATTAAAAGAAATTAACCTGTTTTATTTTTTATTTCTTTTTATTTTCTGTTAATACAGTCACCGATACCTTAGACTTTGAATGCTTATACAAGGAGTGCTAAAGTGCTGAAAAGTTCTCAGTATGCTCAACTCAAAATCTGATCAATTGACCAAATAAAGTATTTTTAAAGGTTTTCTTCACTATGCCAAGAACTTTACCACAACTACCCATATAATATCATC